TGATGAGAGTATATCGTCGACGATGCCCCTTGTTCGGATGAAAGTTTTATTTCAAATTACACGGAAGTCTGTGAACAATCTGCTTGGTGTTCCTGTGACACTTGTCCCATGATTTGCCAGTGCAACCCCGTGAATACATGGACAAAAATGTTTCCACCACCACACTACGAACTCAAGATTGCATACTCCAGCATCCATACTTTGAATAATTTGCACGCCGCACAGTGCAGTACTGGAAATAGCATTTATTAGACAGTTAGACAAAAAACAAAACAAAATGCCTGTCTCGATCAATCGCACATCCATAATGTTTGTATGTTGGTAGCTTGTAAATAACGTTAACGTAAAAGTCGAAACAACCTAGACTAGAAGTCAATTCACCAGTCCAGCCAGCTATGGCTCCCTAAGTTGCTTATATTTAATCAGATACTATTTCGTCATCATGCTTTGTTACCTTACCTGTTTATACCTCATGAGGGCGTTTTGTATGACAAGATGGCGCAAACGGAAGTCATTCGCAGGTTTATGGTTTCTCATATTTAAATCATCATAACTCTGAAGATAATCATTTTTTTAAATTTTGTTTTTCAAATTTATAATCTATATACATAACTTGATAAATACAAACACCAAAATAGGCTCTATTTAGTTCCCCTTTAAATAAAGTGTTAAATAAAGTGTTAAATAAAATAAATAAATAAATAAATAAATAAACAACTAGGGGATATGCATGACTAATGGATGTACCACTGAAGGATCGTGCCAATTTAGTTGAAAGTGTTCATTCCACTGCTTGCTCACCTGCACAACTAGAGATTGTGCTTGACTAATGGGTGTACTATTGAATGATTTGTGTCAATTTAGTTGAAAGTGTCTATTCCACTGGTTGCTCACCGGCACAACTATAGGTTGTGCTTGACTAATTATGTATGTGCTACTGAAGGATCTTGCCAATTTAGTTGAAAGTGTCAATTCTACTGGTTGCTCACCTGCACAACTAGGGGTTGTGCTTTGCTAATGGGTGCACTACTGAAGGATCTTGCCAATTTAGTTGAAAGTGTCAATTCTACTGGTTGCTCACCTGCACAACGAGAGATTGTGCTAGACTAATGGGTGTACTATTGACGGATAGTGTCAATTTAGTTGAAAGTGTCCATTCCACTGGTTGCTCACTTGCACAACAAGGGGTTGTGCTTGACTAATGGATGTACTGCTGAAGGATAGTGTCAATTTAGTTTAAAATGTCCATTCCACTGGTTGCTCACCTGTACAACTAGAGATTGTGCTTGACTAATGGGTGTACTATTGAAGAATCGGGTCAATTTAGTTGAAAGTGTCCATTCCACTGGTTGCTCACCTGCACAACTAGAGATTGTGCTTGACTAATGGGTGTACTATTGAAGGATCGTGTCAATTTAGTTGAAAGTGTCCA